ATTTCTCCAGCTTTCTGATTACGCTGTTCCTCATTGTTACATCCAGTTTGGTCCAAATATTACAGAGGATGCTATTTCTCTTATTTGTTCTGTAAACCTTTTTTTTCTTTAGCTCCTCTTTCACAAACTGTGGGATGCTCTTTCCCACTCCAATTCCAGGCTTTTATTTGGGTTTTAACAGTTGTCAGTGTGTCACTGGTTACCGGCTGGTCTGCCCAGTGCAAACCTATTATTTTGGGATCCAGAATTTGGTATGGGGAGGGTTATATTGAAGGGCTTTTCTTGTTGGTATCTAAGTAAATGAAGTGCCTGATGTGACATCAGTTGTCAGTTCATCTAACTTCTATTTTCATATTTTCAATGTTCTTCAGCCCTAGGATTCCTCTATCAATTCTGGCATGTACTTTAGAAGCAGCTTTTTGAAAGGAGGGAGGGAGGGAGTGAAGTAGCTTTTACCTCCTCGAACGTAAAATCTCAACAGGCTTATTGTTTACATGAAGAAGGCACTGATCCCTGCAGCAAGAGAACTTTCCTCTTATTATCTTCATTGTTAAATATCGTAAAGTCTTCACTCTCAGATAATCTTGTTTTTCACACCTAAAACCACTGCCTTCCTGCCCAGATACTGCTGTCCCATTTATGGCACTAGCTAAAGCACTTTTATGTCTTGGGATTTCAGCAGCTTGGCATCAGAAGAATTTATCTCCGTTTTCTTCTCTTGTCCTCATCCCAAAGCTCACTCCTAGTCATGGTCTGTTTGTGCTGGAATGACCTCATCTGCCTTTAGGCAATACTTGATACCTGAGCAAATGACAAGAAATCTCTCCTGCCTCTGACATTAGCATGTGCTAGAAAAGCAACTATATAAGGCCGTTGGGTCCTGAATCATGCTTGTGCATTCTGTCACTGAGGAGCAGTGCAGCTCCTCCGCTGTTCACTGTCACAGTCTCCAGACTTGATGCATAAGATACTGTGGGTTTGAGGTGAGAGACTGTCTCTGGTGTTGGCTGCTGTAGAGGGACGCCGTCAGTGTTCCTCATGGCTGCTCTTTTATCTAGGACAAAACTGTAGATTAGCTCAGTGTGAGTCTCTGCTTCTCCTCACCAATTGTGAGGAGGTTTACTACTGCTCCACCAGAGCAGCTTTGCAAAGGAAATGCGTTCTTTTCCCCTTTAGGAAGGTACTTGCTTTAAAACGAAGGTACACTGGCTTAGGTTCTGCTCGAACCTTGGGTATATGATAGATACTATGTTCTAGCCGAAGTCACTGGAGGTATTCAATGCATTTGTCTTGGATGCCTTCTTAGGTTAATCTCTTGGCTACGGAGGTATCAGTTTAATGGGCTGTAGAGTTCATAATGCCAACTCTACATCTGCTTTTAAGAGAAACCCTGTGCATCAACAGCTGAACATATGTATAATCCAAATTCTTGTCTCTTTTGCTTTCTTTATTGCTGTAGTTTTGGAAAGCAGCCATTCCACTGAAAGAGGCTATGAAAAGCTGTCAGGTTTTTTTTCTAGGCTGGTTTTCGTAAGAGTTTACTTGAGAAATTGGACCGTTTATGCTATGAACGGTTATGTCTTGGAATGCTGTCAACTAATAAATAAAGGTCTACCTCTGGAACCAAGGTAATATGAAATCTGGCTGTTGCAGCCCTGTGTTTAGTGGATTGGCGGAGAGGGCAGCCGGCTGTATTTTGTATGCCAAGCCTAGTGGCAGGAAATGTAGTACTTGGTACATGCAAGTGATGGTGTGACTATATGCTTGAAAATCATATGTTCTGTTGTTAAACTATTAACCATTCAGTTTTTGCAGCCTTTGAAATCAAACGTGTAGAAGTAAAACAAGGCCAACTGTGAAGGACCTGATAACTTTTTTAGCCTCTGTGCTTTATGTTAAAAGGTCTAAGATGTATACTTCTGTATATTAGCTCTTTGTTTAAAAATAATAATTATGGACTGATTAATATACTTATTACAGATCTTTACATATCTACCTAGGCAAAGCTTGAAAAGTCTTAAGTGCCTGAAACAAATTCCTTAACGTTGTTCTCTTTATTTTAAAGGTTGTTAAAGGAGATGGGTTGGCAGGAAGACAGTGAAAATGATGAAACATGTGCTCCACTGACAGAGGATGAGATGAGGGAATTCAAAGTCATTAGTGAACAGGTGATGCTAAGTTAATGTTCCATTATGAACTTGCAGGTGACTGTCCTTAATACCTGCTTTTGAGGGGCGTCTCTGGTAATTTTGATGGTTAGGGAGATTGACGTTTCAGTTGCGTGGGTTTTTTTAGAACTAGTTGTTTCCTTTCTCTTCCATCCTCAGCTTTCCAACTGCATCAGGTAGATGGGGAATGGGATACTTCTTCCTGGGCCCCTTCCTCATTTCAGACGCTACCCCCCCTTAGTGCAGAAGTTTGCAGCAGGCTGGAAAAAAGCGCATTTGTCCCACAGGAGAGACCATATGGGAGCAATCACTGGGGCAAGGAATGTGAGGAAGCAGAAGAGGATAGAGCTCTTGCTCACTGCAGGAGTCTAACTTAGCACAGTGGGAGGTTCTTGCATCCAGGTAGCTGATCCAGAAGTGAAGGCACTCAAGTGAATTTTTGTGTATATGTGTATAATAGGTAGTACTGTAGGTTTACTGTAGCCTGTAGGTGAAGATACAGAAAAGAATGAAACTTAATTGTTGTACATAGCTTTTTATCTATCTAAATACATCTTGTTTATTTTCATTTCAGTTACAAAAAAATGGCCTTCGGAAAAATGGCATATTGAAAAATGGCCTCATCTGTGACTTTAAATTTAGCCCCTGGAAAAACAGCACTTTCAAACCCGCTCTGGAGAACGAGGATTCGGAGACGAGCAGCAGCGATACATCAGATGATGATGATGTGTGAAGATTTCTCTAACATCAGTAGAAGCTTGTTTTGATCTCATGAAAATTTTGGGGGTGTATTGTCCAAAAAAAAAAAAAAATCTAATTTATGTAGTAACATACCCCATTAGAGGAAGAATGATGGGACTTCTCTCTGAAGAAAGCAAGGAATGTTGTGTTGGGTGTGTTGAACATTACTATAATTTCTTTGTAAACGAATGTTGTAGAATGAGGACTTGGGTTGACCCAGCATTGACTTTCTTCATCACTGCAGCATTTCTGACTAGCAATGTGACAATGTAACAAATCAGACTTTCTCATTTAATAATAAAAACAAAAAGAATTGTGTAATGTCTTGCAAAGCTTCTGTCTTAAAAATGTCCAAGTCTATGAGGGAAAAAAGGGGCAGCTTGACACAGTGTTTTGTTTGCCAAGTCATTTCTTTCTTACAATGGAAATCCTCAAGTCCACTTTGTACGCAGCAAGGGCAATGTAGCATGCTGGCTAAAACGAGCAAAGTGCACTAAAACTCCTTTCCTTAATTGAGCTGTTGTACTGTTCTACTTCTTCCACACATAATTGCTCTTTAGCCATTTGTAGTGTAGTCATTGTTACGGCAAAAAAACCCTAATGTTACAGTTCCAAATTTTTAGAACTAACCTTTAATTTGAAAGCTTTATGGGGTACTGCAAGACCCAGTGTTCTCACAGTGAACATATTTGTGTGGGAAAATAAGCACTTTGATAAATTATTCACATGCAGAAAAATAATTACACTGACTGGATTTGTCCGCTACATGGGAAATAAACTGATTTACAGAGTAATGTCTCAGTGCATAGCATCAAGGGTATTGGTTTTTTTTTTTTTTTAATCTAGTAACAATTCTGTTTGCATTTACATTAAATGTACTCTGGCAGCAGTGACTGCATTTCAGAATGAGTAAAAATATTTTTATCACCAGATCATGCTTTTATAGCAAAGTTAGTATACCTGTGCAATAAGCACTTTTTTCAGTTACTTAGTGTAAAACTGTTTTCCTTATTATCACACATTCTTAAACTAATCTTGTGTTACTTACAGTTTTATTTGGTTCATTTTTAGCTTTAAGTATTTTCCCCAAGGTTGTACAAATGGTACATAGAATTATTTGTAAGCACAACTGCTCTTTGTGATGTCACATACTTTTTTAACATAGCTTATGTGTAGATGTTCCCCCCTTCAAGATATTTTTGAACTACACTGTCTTATATTGCTGATTTGCAATGTGAAACTTGAGCAAAAATATTTATAAAGTTGAGGTTCTTTTCCTTTTTTGAAAAGGTTTTTTTTATAAGATGACATCTAAAACTTTTGGGCCAAGAGTGTGAAGTGTGTGTGGTTTTTTGTAGGTTTGTGTGTGTGTATTTTTTTTTTTTAAGTTTAAATAGATTTCTATGAAGTGAAGTTTTTACTTAGAGCAGGCATACAAGTGTTGAGGTCGTTAATTTTGGCACTATATATTGGAATATGCTGTGCTCTTGTCTAAACTTAAAAGGATAAAAATGACTTTAAGGAAACTGCCATATCAATAATGATGTCTTTTGTTACTTGTATGCCTTGCAGATCTTTCTCCTTTCCCCCTCTCCCACAGTTTTTTTTTAATTGTTTTTTGGCACCTTGATGCAGTTTTTACTGGGTTTTTTGGTTGTTTCATGTCATCAGCAGGGTCTTCTGCCTATCCTAGTCACTTTGTGGTATGTAAATACACTCATTTTGCTACTAATTGAAAACTTTCTTGCCTTGGCATCTCTCAAAGTGGGACATAGACTTCAATGTTTTTCCTGTTTTCTGTTCAGTGACAAGTCACCTCTTCCCATCCTTTGGGAAGATTCTGTAATTGTAGAACACTTATGTTATACTAAGTTTATGGACTTGCGAGATTTGCAGGTTTTAACAGAGACTACTCTTTATAGAACTAAAACAGAAATAACAGTGGTACTTGGATTACTTCTGTTTCTCTACACCCCGAAACTGTAAGAGAGTACCCTTCATGCTAGTTCAGAAACTGGTGTCAAAAGTTCTGTATAACCTTTAGCTAAATGGTTATCTATCTGCTGTTAGTTTGCCCCTCATTGTAGTAGGAGATAGAAGTGGGAAAGCTTTGATTTTCCAACTAAGGAACTGGATAACCTTACATTATAGTTAGTTATAGCAAAGCTGAGTAATGCATTGGGCCTCTTTCTTCCCCTCTTACTAAGAAACGCTTTCTTTGCTCACTCACTGAGGAACTCTCAACGGTTTCCTGTTGAGCCTTCAATTTTGATTTTCCTGGGAAAGTTGTTCAATCCTTGCTGTCTTCCTAGCTAGCTCACTAGTTCATCAGGTTTACTCTCCCCTCTTCACACTTAGGAGTCATGATTATACGCAGAGACATTGATTTTAGTAAGCCAAACCACTTGAAACGAAGTTTGTTTTTTTCCTTGTTTTACTTTCATAAAATGTATGAAGACGTTCTTTTGTCCTGTTCCACTCCATTTTGCTCAGTGCAGGAGTTTGTAAAGCAGAGTGAACTCTGATTCATTAGTATGTAACAAAACAAATTTTCCCTCTTTGACTTTGGTTATCCCTTTCCCAGAGCAATGTAATTTTAGTTGTTCATCAGCCTTCCTTTTCTGTCGTCCCTATATCATGATCCTTTTCGAGGATATATTTTTGTTTCTTCTGCTAGAGCAATTCAAAACCAGCTAGGATGTCTTCCTTAAAGGCTTAAGAAGTTGTTGGACTAAGCTTGCCTATTCCTTTAGTTAGCTTTTAGCTGTTCTGGAAAGGATTCATAGATACTTCTCAGTGTTTAGTGGATATAGAGTTTGTCAGTGCTGGGCCCAGAGAGCTCAACTTTCATTAAAGTAATCACTGAGTGCTGCATACAGACTTGTATAATTACAAGTGTAATAATGTATAATTACTTGTATAATTTGCAGTAATCACTACAATTTCTCTTCTCTACCCAGCCTGTCTTTGCTGACAGTGTAGTGTATCCTCTTGGCTCCTCTTCCCATCCTGCTTTTGAAGAAAATAATTTTGATCAATCAATCACTAGTTTTCTGATCAATTGGTGATGAGAGATGTGTACTCTTGCCTGCCAGTGGTATGAAGCGTACTTTTGTTTATCGTAGGAGAGCTGTGGCTCCTTCATCTCATCTAAAATGACCAGAGAGACCTTTTTCATCAGTTTATATAAGGCCTTTTCCTCTCTTAACTAGTAGAAGAAGTGACAAGTAGTGTTGATTACAGCGAAGTTGTCCATTGATGTGTATTGGACCCAGTCAAAATTCTGAAGGAGACTTTTCCTGCTTGTAATCCCAATCTTTGATAGATATTATCAAGTATGGAGGAAATCGAATTGTATTCTCCTACACAATAGCATCTGAAAAAATCCATCTGTACTGTTTCACTTGTGACAAAGGCCTCAGTTTTAGAAAAACGTTTGTACCTTTTACTATTTGGTCTGTACAGAGTACTGTTCTGATACTAAATTCAGTGCCTACCACCACCTTGTTTCCATCTGTTTTGTGCGGATTTGATCCTCTGATGGACATGTGGAGTTCCCTCTCATAGTGAGATCTTACAGGGTCTGTGGTGGCATGTGCTTCTTAAATTCCTGCAAGGATACCTGAGAGCGTGCTTGCTATTTAAGGTTGATTCTGTATATGTTGTCCTTGGACAGCCTCTTGCTATGTGGAAATGCACAATTCCTATAGAGGAATGATACTCCCTTCCATATTTGCAGAGCAAATGTCCATTTACTAGTCTATCCTATTCAGGTCTAGGATCCTGCTTTGAAGATGGGAATGCTTTTCAGCAAGTGGTGAGATTGTTGATGTCTGGGCAAACGTTTCCATATCGGCCTAATGGAGCTTGGGGCAATATGAGTGAAAGAGTTCCCCTTAAGGGATGCGGGAGATTCCTGGTTCAGGTGATAAAAGTTTCATCTTCAGAAGTGAAGAACTGCAAACTCCTTCCAGTCCGCCAGGAAGCGGTCAAATTTAGGAACTGATGCAACAAATTCAAAATTCTCGGAAGATGAAATTTTAGCACCCTGGTGGCCTGCGCTATTTCATTTTGCTACACTACCAGACTGGCAGCATGGTGGCCTGAGTTAGCATCTTCTAAGTTAACAGATACTCTGAAATGGATCTCTTCGTGTCAGATAAATTTCTGACCTTCTCTGAAACCAGCGAGCATCCGGATTTCTTGCTCTTCTGTGCCTCACATCGGGGTGAAGGGGTGATGTAGCTTTTCCTCTGATTTATTACTCAGTCTAGCTGATGGTAAGAAATGATGTGTTGCTTTGATCCTGCTTATCCTAGAATGACTGCTTTAGTATGGTGTCTTCCATTTGATTCTTATTCTTCTCTGTGTGATAGCTTGGTATTTGGGAGCTCTGTGCTATCCTAACCTTTGTGTGCACCATTTCCTGTTGTTTCCTGTTGCAAGACTGCTGAAGTAGAACCACCTTTAGTGAGTTAAAGTGTATCCTATCTGAGCTTGAGGATCCATTCGCGTTAATGTCCAGTTTTATTTATGCCTTCACCAAATGCTGCTCTACTGGAGTAGCTTTTAGAGCCAAAATATCACTTGATAGAGAGCAGTCCTGGAACTGGTGTTTGTGTTGTTCCAAATCGCTGCGTTGTTCCATTATAGCTATATAGTATTGCTTTTTGGAGTCACCCAGTGAAGATAATGCGAATGGACAGTCACTCAAAGAGAAGTTTCTTATTAGCAGGCTTTGAAATGTATTGTCCATGTGTGCACTTATCTCCTATCCTCCTCCTTTCTTCAGAGTCTCTAGATAGGAAATCATTTAGGATCCTGCATTTCAGGAAACAACTGGAGATGTGTAGGTCGTGGTCTTGTCTTACACATGGATAATAAATTAACAGGATTTGAGCGATCTGACACGCACGTGCACACGTACACAAGGGAACACTGTAGAGTTCTTCTTAGAAAATAAGTTATTACTAGTCTTGCCATTTATACCTCTTGCTATCATTGGTGACCCTTCTTGTGAGTGTCCAGGTTCTTTCCTACCCAGGGTACATGGAACTTAAATTATATTCAAACAAGAAGGACTTTCTCATCAGTTGTCAGATCTCTTTGTTTTGCTGTAACATTGCTTTAGGCAACAAGAGACATCGTTCAAATGGTAATGTCTGAAATGAGCTGGTCCATAAGGGATCAATGTGTATTATAAGAAGCCTACTGAATCAAGCTGTTGTTTGTGCTAAGCTATGAAATGCTTCATTACCAAAGGTTGGAGGATGCTTTTGTCTACCTTGGAAAGCTATTTCAAAAAGAAGCTTGAGGATAAAACATCTCTGTACTTTACACTCATACAAACTGCTCACTTGAGCACTTTTTCTCTGCTCTGAGTTACGCTTTATGGTTTTATTTCTGCTTTGTCCACCTCCAAAGTCAACATGCACAAATAATCTTTGTACAGAATAAAATCATGTGATTAGTTGAGATTAAGGAATTAGTTGTTAAATTCTGAAAAAGTGGGACTATATTCACGTTCCAGTTTAGCTATGAACGAGAATGTTTTAATTGAATGTTGACTTTTCTGAAAATTTTCATAGCAATTCTGTGACTTTATTTGGAGAAAGTGGATAATGTTATGGGCTAATCACAAGAATGTGAAGGGAAGGTTATCTTGGTTAAGGTCTCAGTGGAAGAGTACCAGAGATATGCTTATGCGGAGGCCAGTGATTTTTGCGTTTTGTACAGTTTGGACAATGTGTGTTAAATATGTAAAACCAAAGTACTGAATAAGGCAGGTGTGG